TTTCTTCTAAAACTGAACACATAGTTTTGAAAATCCTAAACCTAAATCGGAGCGGTTTGACTATGGAGTAATAGCTGCACTAGAGGATTGGTCCTTTTTATAAATCTAAGATAATACTGACCCTTTGAATTTATATATGTTCTAAATGATTGTTAAGACTACCATATGGGGACATGACAAGCTTTCCTGCTAGTATGAGGGGTACTATATCAAGGTTTCAGAAGATCTCATACGGAGTATTGTTTTAAACAACCTTGAATATTTTGATGCGTAGGGTGTCACTCCTGTTATTTGTTGCGCGGGTACTAAACCTTCCCGTCACGGGGATGGGATGGAGATCTGAATCATACTTGATGGAAATCAGTTGTGAATATTGTTTTATTCAYATATATTTGTATATTATGTGTTTACAACTTGAAGGAACAGATGTCAGTGCAGTGGAGGTGGAAGATTACCTAGTTATGTGAAATTGGTTCCACTAAGTCTTGATGTGTTAGAGGCATGTTGGATAAGTTTTCATATAGCGTACACATGCAGATAATGGGTTTCCGTAACATGTACACATCCAACAAAGTTTGAGAAAATATGTTTTCTTCTATTTTAATAGAAAGACAAATGTTTTCTTTCGGTGAGTACCTAGGCTTGATACTTGTTAGGAGTTACTTCTTTGGCCCAAAAACAATGCGTCGTTTGACTTAACAAATAGTTTAATCAAAAGTCCCCAACTAATGAGTATATACATAAATACCCCTTAGTAACACAAAACTGAGAAAGCTTATGGACAAAAATCAGTTATAAATATTTTGTCAATGTTAACGGAGAAATCAGTAAATTTGAGAAGAAATCTTTCTAAGGAAGGAAGCATTGCATATTTTTGTGACAACCTATAGAATTGAAAGTTTTGCATTTTTTTTTTTGGAATGTAGAGAGTGTTAATCTTGATTTTAGGGTGAAGTACAAATCTTAATAGTAAAAAGGGGTAGACGCCCTTGGAGTTCCCCCATCCCATCGGTCACACGACCATCACAGGGGAGGTAAATCAGTACGAGTTAGCAGTAATTGGTGGTGCCCTAGTTTAACCTTCGATCTCCTTCGTGAATGCTCATTATCCTATCGTTGAGGCTACACTTGAGGACAAATCTTAATAGTTTATTTTATCTCAAGGGATTGTTTGATTTACTCCTCAACTATGGTTGTTCACATGTCCAGATAACTATAAAATAAAACAACTCATCAGGTTTGCTTTGGCTAACATGTCACAGAAGCACATAAGCTTTGGTGTTTAATATGTGTAGCACATAGAACTCAACATAACCTTTTGGCCCATTCTGTTGTAGTTTATGTAAAAGATTTTTTTTCTTTTTCAATTTGATGTGCATTGTAAAGATGAACAACACTTGTTCTCATTGGTTGCCTACATGTGTGTATACGCAATCTGTTGAGGCAAATAGTTTACCATCCATCTTATTTGGTGGGAAAAAGATTCCTCTTTGTGCTTGGATAATTGCCTTTTCTGATAACCCGTTGTCATTTTGTGTTTGAAGATTAAGAAGGCGTGAGAAACCTTGTGTCAGCACTGCCACGATCACTGACAAGGCTCATCCTAGTTTGTTGATAAGAGTAACCAAGTCTAATGAACTACCATGGAGGTATATATATATATACCTCTCTTTATTGAGAAATTAACATTTGTTATAATTTTGACAAATTAAACTGCTCAATTAATTCAACTGTGTTATTTGTTTGCTCTTCTTTCAACCAGTCTCTTGACATCTCTGAACCCAATCCCATTTTTTTCTTTCTGTAATTGAGTATAGTCAAGTACTTGATCACATATATATAGCGTTGTCATCTGAAGTAGACCAGATGAACACAAAATCCCTATATATAAATCTTTAGCTGTATTTATCTAGATCCACATATCAATAATTCCATAAGCTTGGGCCTCTTCATAAAAACATCCATCATTGTAGTGGTATTAGGCACAATCAGAGGTTTATTTTTGTGTGTTATTAGGCACAAATGAGGCTTGCTGCCAGTAGAAAGCTAAACCTCTTATTTCCTGATCCTAATTTTACTCTACCCTTTCATATATATAAGCATCATGAACCTTTTTGGTGTTCTCAAATGTAAGAAGATGGGGGAGGATTTTGTTGGCCAAGCGGGTGCAGCTTTAAAATAGATCAAATGTCGGTAAAGCCATTCAATGTGTTTTAGCCGAATTCCGCCCTTTGGGGGATTTTTTTAAGTTTTTTTGATTGATTTCGAGGTATTTTTTAAGTTTTTTTGGTTTATTTTGGGGAACTTTTTTGGTTTTTTTGTTGTTGATTTCGAGAGAATTTTTCGGTTTTTAGTTGATTTCAAGATAATTTTTCGGTTTTTTTTGTAAAGACTAATCTAAAAGCTCAACAGGCTTGAGCTTCTGTTTGTTTTAATTTTTCAAAAGAATTGACACCCATGCCATGCTCCTTTTTTGTTTTTAATATGTATTTTATGTTTTTTATTATTTTTATTTTTTTATTTACATTATTGGTCCCTCACTTCGGTGCTCCAGGTTCCTGATCTAAAGTTAGAGGGTTGGAATCGAACCCCAAACTTTTAACTCCACCAACTACTCATTTTGTGTTAAGAACTTAGGTTTAAAATATTTGAGAGCACCCTCTAAATCAAGCGGGTGCACCTTCAAGACGCCTACATTTTTTTTCCTTTACAGTAATCAAGTGAGCGGATGCACGGGACCTTGCTTGGTCCTTAGTAGGTCAGCCCCTGGTCACAACTGCCACCGTCACACCTACCCAACCCATCCCCCACTCACAACCACCCCATCCCTCGCCCCTACTCTGCCACCATGCCACTGCTGTCGTCTTCACGGCAACCACCCCCATCTACCAACCACCATGCCACTACTATCGTTGTCACAACCAACACCCGATTCACCTCTGCCACCACACACCCCAAGGGTGGTGGGTACGATGGGGTGTAGGGTCAGGTGTGGGGCATGGGGGTCCTTTGGCCACCACCCACGTGGGTGGTGGGGGCCCGGGGGTGTCATTAGCGGGGTGTCAGGGCGACTGCCACCCCTACCACCGTGCCTAATATTGTCCTCATCATAGCTACCAACCCCACCCCCCCCCCCAAAAAAAAGATGGAGATTCCAATTCTTTTTTGAGATTCTATTCCAATTTCTACCAATCAAACGCGTGGTCAAATTCTATTCTAATTCCTTCAAAGTAAAATTTCTGTGGAGATTCCAATTCCACCAAATTCCATTATGTGAACCAAAAGCCCCCAAGTTTATCRGACCAAAAASTGTGTGTCTTATTTAAAGGCATTACAATGAGTTGTTAGGATGAAGTTGGACAATCTAATGAGTTCTAAAGTAGGGCAACCTAATAGGACACAAAAGGTAAATTGTCGTATTAGCCTTTTTTTTCTTTGTAGTGTCTCTACGTATAAATAAGTTAACAGGACACTTATAGAAGGTTTCCTATATGGATGAGTGTGTTTCGTTAAGTAGACATTGTTTCTCTTATTACTTGCAGGAGATAAACTTGTAGGGGAGGTTGGTAGGCTGGTAGTAGCTGAAGCTTGCATACAAGCATTGGACATAGATTTCACTCAAGGCCAAATATACGAAATCAACTCAGTACCGGTGAGCATTCTGACATTTTCACATATTTGGAGATTACGTTATTAACTCATCATACATACATCTACATTGCAGCAATTGTCGTGTTTTGTTTTGAGTTGAATTTCTTACAAGCATCATAAATTAAAAGGAGTTTTAGAAGTGTTGTTATGGTGCAGAGTGATGGACCACGAAGTGACACAAAAAAATGGCAAGAATTGTTTAAAGTTGCTCAACTTCAATAAGATATGTGTACATGCATGAAGTCTGTCAACTTATGCCATCATGTTGTTATTAAGTTTCAAATTTGGTACATGTTATAAAAACAAGATATGAATATTTGTAGCTATTGTACTTGATTTTAGCTTTTAAAAATACCATATAGTTGTAGGAAATCTATAAGGAGAAATGTTCTCATCGTAGTCAGGCAAATTAGCTGTTAGCTGATAAATAAATCCCATTTGGGAAAAACTAGCTGATAAGCTAGATGAAAAATGTAAAACGACCAAAAAGGACATCTTGAAAAATTAATCAATTACAACAATTTTTAATATAATTAAATCAAATCTMATAATATAATTTGTTAATTAATACAACAAGATAGTAAAAAAGAATTAAATAATATAATATGTTAATTAAAAAAATTAAATTGATTATATATTTGTATATTATAAAATTTGGAATCTTTAAA